GGGTTCCAGAGCTTTCTTGGGATCCTAGCAGGCCTTCAGCAAATGCCTGGTAACTACTGCTGCTACAGAAAGGCATCTACCAAAACGACTCTGGTGCCATGTTCCTCTGCCACTTGGGGTGGGGAGCCCAAGTGCCAGACATCTCAGGCTTGGCATTTTGGGAACAGCTTCTTTGAGAATCGCCATAGTTCTTAAGAGACTAAATATAAAGGCTGTCTCTTCAAAGTCAGTTCCTTTTAGACTGTTTAGAAGGCCCTTTAGAGTGTTACATAAATGTCTTTACTCGCCTTGAACTGTGAGTGAGAGAAGACTTGCCCTGTGAATGTTGCCCCAACCAGAGACAGATCGCTGTCTCCCCTTGCAGGAAAATTAGAATGGAAATAGAATACCGTTGTTGAGCCAATCCTAGGAGGATTTTCCTCCAGAAGCCCAGGATGAATCATACTGGAAGCCCCGCCCCCTGGCCCCAGCTCCTAGATCCTCAAATGCTGCCCAGAGCCAAGGGCTTGGCCAGCCACTTCTCACACCTAACACTGTCAGTTCGAGTGGGTTGGGCAGTCCCTCCCTGGCCATCATCTACAGGGCTCAGCAGCACTCTAGCATTGTCCTGAGCCTGGCAGGGTCCTTGGCCTTCTTAGACTGGATTCTCCTTTGCTACATCAGGGGCTTGTAGATTCACTGTCCTCCCCTCCTTTTCTGTCTCCTCCAGCTGCCCCAGCAGTGAGGATGTACTTGGAAACACTCTGCTGTTCACTGTGCCTCTTCTCAGACCACTGTAGGCATCACAGAGGGCTGTGGGGCCTGAGGCTGATCTACAGTGTGAGCTCCTGTGGTTGTGTCTTGCCTGGTGAGCTCCTCCTCAGCTCCTGCTCTGCCTCATTTCCTTGAGGCTTGAGGCCAGGCAGGCCAGCACAACCCCAGACTGGTGTAAAGCTTGCCGTTTGCCTCCTTAAACCAGTGGGCACCCATTCACTGTCTCCTGGACCACATTGTCCCTATGACGTTAACTCTTTTTTTTTTTTTTCTTAGACGGCATTTCTTTGTGTAGCCCTAGCTTTCCTGGAACTCACTCTGTAGACCAGGCTGGCTTCAAACTCACAGAAATGCACCTGCCTCTGCCTTCTGAGTGCTGAGATTAAAGGCATATGTCAAGTGTGTTTATCTGGGGAGCCATCTCACCAACCCCAACATTTATCTTTTCTTGCTCTGATGGCTTCCATTGTAATCCCAAACCTAAGTGTTTAGGCAAATAACAGATCCACCTGCCTGGGGTTTGGGGAGGGCCACCTGTGATATGGAAAGTGTGTCTCGGTATTATCTGGTATGTGATGGGGCTGCTGGGTAACCCTGAGCAATGTCTTTGGACTGTTTTGTGTTTAGACATTGGGACTGGAAGTTGTTGTGACAGGTGCTCTCCCCCTTGGGCACCTGCCACCTGACCTGACACAGTTTCCTCTGTGGGACTGAGCTTGGACTCTGCTCTTCTGGCCAGAACAAATTGAGAGACAGAGTGGGTCACTGGAGCCCTGGAAGGCTAGTTCTTATCTGCCTTTGTAGAAAGCTGCCCACGGGCTGGAGAGATGGCTCAGAGGTTAAGAGCACTGACTGCTCTTTCAGAGGTCCTAAGTTCAATTCCCAGCAACCACATGGTGGCTCACAACCATTTATAATGAGATCTGATACCCTCTTCTGGTGTGCAGATATACATGGAAGCAGAATGTTGTATGCATAGTAAATAAATAAAATCTAGAAAGAAAGAAAGAAAGGAAGGAAGGAAGGAAGGAAGGAAGGAAGGAAGGAAAGAAAGAAAGAAAGAAAGAAAGAAAGAAAGAAAGAAAGAAAGAAAGCTGCCCACTACTGACACTTCGTGGGGCTATGGAGTGAACTCCTAATATTGCCTTTAAAGTCCCACTCACGATTTGAGGGTAAGGTGTGGCCTTATTTCCCAGCCCAGCCAGACCAGACCCTCGTGACAGGAGAATCCCCAGGGTAGGACCCAGGGGATTGAAATGAGGTAAGCAGCTAGCCACCCTGTGACTAGGCTCCCTGTATGGACACTGGGCAGTAAGAGGGGACAGCAACTGCTTGTATCCTCTGGACACTGAGGCAGTACATATTTACTAAGCCTTCAGAATGCCCGACACTGCTGAAGACATGTGCTCGTCACGGGTGAAAGTCACAGTATGAAGTGGCCTAAGGTTAGTCCTTACCAGGGATGCCCCAGATGACCTACCTGTCACTGCAGATGCTCTCTTCCCCTCCCCTTCCAGTGAACTAGGTCTGGCACAGTGGTGGCCTGTCCCGAATTGCAGTGCTATGGCCTACACAGACCCCTGCCAGGGCCTTCCTTAACGACCTCACGAGGCTGACTGTGTCTAACCAGCTGCTCAGATGCCCTGGTGGGGCCTTTCCATTGCTGGGGAAAGCCTCATCTTTGTGGAAGGAAAGCACAGCATGCACTGGAGATGAAGCTGAGTTGGTAGAGTGCGTGTGTCTAGCATGCACAAAGCCCTGGATTTGATACCCAGCACCAAACTGGGCGCTAATCAGGTTTGGTGAATCATGTCTACCTATGATCATAGCACTAAGGAGGGGAGGCAGGAAAAAAGTTCAAGGCCATCCTCAGCTTTATGGTGAGTTCAAGGCCAGCCTGGGCTAAAGGAGACCTTGTCCCAAAACAAAGGAAAAAGAAAAGAAATGAAATTTGAATTTTTCTGGGAGGGTATGCAATACAAATTAATTGAGTTACAATCTCATGCTAAAATACTACAGCGGAAGAACATAGTTCCCAGGCCCACCTCTGTCATGGGGATCTTTGTTTTCTGGTGAGATGAACTTGTGTGCTTTATTAGAGTAGGATCATTGAGGAGTAATGTGACACCAAGGGTGCAGGCTGCATTCTAATGTACAGATACCTAGAAAGCCCCTCCTGCCCAAGCTCATCCTTAAGGCTCAAAACACATTAAGATCAAATGGATCTCGGAACTGCCTGGTAGTTATCCCTGGTGGTGACTGTTCCTGACCCCTTGGCAGAACAGACAGGGAAAGTGTAGTCCAGACACCAAGATGGCATGACTCTCCAAGCTTGCCTGGCAGGGAGTGAACCAGAGAACAGTAGTGGGGGAGGACACTATGAAGTGTCCCTTGCCAGGCAGGGTGTGCTTGTCTAGCATCCCAGCAGTAGGAAGGCTGAGGCAGGAGGACTGCCACGAGTCTGAGGTTAGTTTGGAGTACATACATCAAGGCTACAAAGCCAGGAAGGAGTCCCCCTTTAGAACTGGGAACAAAGTATCCCTGGTGCGCCCAGCACTCTCCATTAGTGAGTGGCTGTGAAACAGAGGATGCTTTTCTATTAATTTTAATCTAACATGGACACATTTAATGACCACACTCCTGCTGGACTAAAGAATGGGCCTCCCTCCCAAGAACCAAGTGGAGGCCCTCAGTATTGCCATTGGTCCAACATCCCTTGTTTTCTGAGTCCACAGTCTCTGCGTTGGAAATTGGGTTCCTGTTAAAATTTTAAAAGGAAGGCAAAAAAAAATAAAAATAAAAAAGACAGGCAGAAAAGGAAATGCCATCAGCCAGGCTCCCCCACTGCGGCCTTGAGTCCCGACTGTCTGTCGGAAAGGGTCTGGAAGAAGAATGATTTTGGCAGTGTGAATTTCACAGCAGCCAATGGAAACTTCCAGGAATGCCGATCGGGCCAGCCGGGGGCTGTTTCCACTGCCACTTTTACGAGATGCAGACCCGTTCCTGGCTGGCTGGCTAGCTTGGGGATGTGATGAGGTCTTTCAGCTTAGCTCCACCTCTGGAGGTCTAGTTCATGTTCCTCAGCAATGGTCTTTCCAGGTTCTGTCCTGTGACCTAGGGTGCAGAGTCCTCCCATCCTTGGGCAGCTATCAGACAGAGCATCCTCTGTGACAGCTGACGTCCACACAGGACGCTGTGAGAATTTACAGCTGCCCTGGAGGGGAAACTCTCTCAAAATGTCTCCATGTTATCAAGTGCATGGAAGCTCTCTTCTGGATCAGGCTCAAGCTTTCATGGAACCTCAGGGAATGGGTCATTATCTCTTGAAAGACATCATGACCTTCCTAGTGCCTGTGGGAAGCAAGCCTGCTGCACTCACAGTGGCCTTGTCTGCAGTGACCTTATTCCCAGTGGCTGCTGTGGCCTTCATGTATGCAGTATTCAGCAACCCTCGATGGTGGAAATGAAATGGCCAGCTGAGCATGGGTCATCCTAGCAGGTGTTAGGGAAGGTGTGATTGGTGGGACAGGCTGCCATGGCTCAGGCCCTCTGAGAAGTTGCCCACTACTGATACTGCCTGAAGCCAGAGGAAATAGACAGGTTTCCCCACCTTCGTGGGAACTTTGTCTGCAAGACTGGACTTGGTCCATGAAGTACACACAGCCTCAGGTGACTGGATCCATAGGCAACCTTTGTACTGGTTTGTGGAAATAAGTGGATCAATGTGGCATTGTCACTTGCCAGTGTCACCCTCATCCTCACCCCCAGGTGGCACTATCTCCCTCTGTCCTCATAGGACCCACACAAATGGAGCCCCCACCCTCTGGGCTCAGGGAACCCACTTCCCAGCTATGTGCCCTGCCCACCTTGGGAAGAGTGCCCTCAACCCAGAGGGAGGGCAGTGTCCTGGACAGGATCCAGGGGAAGAAGTGTCAACATTTGTGGAGCAACTTCCTTCCCAGACAGGTGCTCAGTGGTCTCTGGTGATACACAGAGCCTAGGGGTCAAAATTCCTTGTGCCACGGTTATCTTGTGAGAATGTGAGATCTGCCATCTGCCTCCCCTCAAGCATCTCTTTCTGCCCACAAACTCCAGAGATGCACACAGAAGGCATGAAAGACTAGGCACAGCCCGTTGGTGGGGAGGGAGGCACCTGGCATTTGGGTAGCAGGCTGAGCGGCTTATGGTGATCCCTAGGTCAACAAGGTGGGCCCTCCATCCTGAGCCTGACACTTTTTATTTTGCAGACAGTGTCCATCCTGGAACAGCGGTTGACACTGGCAGAAGACAAGCTGAAGCAGTGCCTGGAAAACCAGCAGCTAATCATGCAGCGAACGCCATCATGACCCAGGAGCAAGAATCAGGAGCTCAGTTGATTAGGAGGACAGCAGGCTAGGGATTTGTATGGTGACTTGAGTAAATAAATAAAGGGATTCACCCCTGAGGGAGCCACATCTGTACCCAGTCTAAGATTGGGTGCTCCTGCTCCCCTGTCCCCAAGTGCTGTTTGCACCTGGAACCTCCCCACCTGACCATGGGAAGCTCCCAGTGGGTGGAGCCACACAGAAGGGAGACTTGTGACCACACTTAGTTTAACAAAAAGGAGCCAGGTGAACTGGGTGCTTCCTCAGAGTCCTAAGATGGTGACAAGCTGTCTAGAGAGCCTTGCTAGGTTTTCATTCACCTCACTTCAGCCTCCTGACTGGCTTCTAAGTTGGTAGTTCATTGCTTGGATGAGGCAAGAATTTTCTCTCCATCTGACCACCCCCGCCCCCGCCCCTGCCCCCAAAGAAAGCCCCCAATAGACCATCTGAGTCAGGTTTGTTTGGGAACAAGCTTGGGGCAATGGGTAGGGCCTTTGCAAAGCCTTTAATTTCTGTTACCACCAGGGCCAGTGGCTTCTTCCTGTCTACATGCATGAGAACAGAGGGATCTGAAAATTAAAACTAATTTGACTGATGTTGTTGCAGGAATGGCTTGTTCTGGGTAAGACCTAACCAGTCCTCCCATCCCAGGGCCCATAAAGGGAGAGTCACAGCAGCAATGGGAGGTGGGGTGCTTAGAGGATCATTTCTGAGACCAAGGACCCTTGTTTGCAGCTGTTTGGGGGGTGCTGGAGTGCAAGGATAGCCGAAGCCCTGTGTATTTCCCCTAACTGGCTTCCACAGGGATGTGGAGGCCCCAAGTGCCCTGTTTCCATTCATCATGAGGGTTTCTTGGGGCCATCCTCCACATCTAGACTGGGAAAGCCAGTGAGTACTTTCCTTGTCTGCACGGCTTCTACCACAAAGCCGCAGCCTTCAGCATCTTGGAGCTTAGAAACCAGAGAGGTCCTTATCCCCTAAAATACTGCCCTGCCCTGGGGGTGGGTGCAGTGCTAGAACTCCCCAAAACCTGTCAATACCAGCTAGTTAGCCTGGCCACAGCCCTTGCAGCTTCCAGGAGAAGTAGAGCCTGAATGTCTAAGAGTCCAGGCTGGCACGAGGGCCAGCCTGTGTTGATTTCTGATAAACCACAAGTGTGGGAGGTTGCCTCCTCCAGCTTGTACTAAGTAAGGAGAGCTAAATTCCAGAGTCAGACCTTAGTCCTGCCCACCCCCACCTGTACCCCCCAAAATACTGCAGTCTGACCTGTCTGAGGCTCTGATTGTTAGTTTTGAAGCAGTGACCTCTATTCCTTTAGGTGCTGCACCCTGCCCTGTGAGAGTAGTGGCTCAAGGGAACCCATTACTCTGTCCATTCCCACTAGATGACAGAGCCTATTGTCAAGAGACAGCAGGTGGATCGGGAAGAGCTGGGGTTCCCTGGGGAGCTGCAGTGCAGGAGCCTGGTAGCCTGCACTGGCAGGTAAGCCCCTCAGCTGTCTCTGGAGGGAGTAAGCACCCCACCCTGTGACACTTAGCTGGCTACTACCTCAAAGGGTGCAGCTTGCGGCGCCAGCCTTGTCATCCCTCCCATGCTGGTTCTGCCACCCTCTTGGTGGAGGCAGGCTGAGTGTGGGGCACGCCTTTAATCCCAGCACTCGGGAGGCAGAGGCAGGCAGGCAGGCGGATCCGAGTTTGAGCTTGGCCTCATAGTGAGACCCTGTCTCTAAAACCAGGTAGAGGTGAGAGCTGAGAGTCAGCATTTATCCCTCTACTTCCTGGCTGTGGGTCCAAGATAACCAGCTGCTTCAAGCTCAGGCTGCATGGCTTCCCTACCACGATGGACTGTGAACCAAATAAACCTTTTCTTCCTGAAGTTGCTTTTGCCAAGTATTTTGTCAAAGCAATGGGAAAGTAAGAGAGCAGTCTTGCAGGGTGTTTCTACAGCTCACACACACCTCCCTTAGAGCTGCAGGAATCAGGGAAAGTACAGTTCTTAGTAGGCACGCATTCTACCACTGGGCTTCCCCAGCCATGGCTTTTGGAATGATCTGATTGTGGTGATCTTTACTTCTGTGCCCAGGGCAGACTCAGGAAGGGCCAGAGCTCATTTAGGGCCAAGTTTCTCCCAAAAGGGTCCCAACTCAGAACCTCCCTGCACCAAGAACTTGGGGACTCAAGATGCACCTGATTAGGGGGTGGTCCACAGTCCTCTTAGTACTCTGGGCATTGACTAGCTGCACCATCATCCCCTGCCCCCGTGAAGACTTATGGACTCCCTGAGCCAGACAACTATCTGGAGTGCTAGGAGGTCCAACACAGCGGGCCTAGATGGTCTTAGGTGTCTCGCAAGATTGGAGGTCATGTAACTGGGCCTTTTTTTTGCAGTATTTATCTCCCCAAATGATACCACCAACCCTACCTGACAGCTACTCTGCTTCCACCCTCTCCCTCTTGCTGCCAAGCACAAAAGCAGTCTCCGAGAGTCGGTGGCTCCAGAGTTTGGATCTGAGTAACTGCACTTCCAGAAAGGCAGACCGTAGAGCTTTCCCTCCCCCACTCTGTCCTCAGCCCTGCACAGGGCCAGCTTGTGAGGGTTCCAGAGCATGGACCTGCCCTTGTCAGAGAAGCAGTGGTACCAGGCAGTTCCAGGAAGAAGTGGCCAAGCCCACTCCCAGGCCATGGTTTGCGTCTACTGCTGTGTGTGATGAAACATTGACCCAAAACAGCCTAGGGAGGAAAAGGTTGGCTTGTCTTACACATCTGGATCTCAGGCCATCCCTGAGGGAAGTCAGAGCAGGCACTCAAGCAGGAGCCTAGAGGCAGAAACAAGCAGAAGCTATGGAGAAACACTGCTTGCTCCTCAGGGCTCACTCCACTTGTTTATACGACCCAGGACCACTAGCTGAGGGGTGGTACCACATGGGGCTGGGCCCTCCCACACAGTTGAGGTCCTTCCCCAAATGACCCTGCTTGTCAAGTTGACCAAAACTAACCAGCACACATGGCAAGCCCAGCTGCCCCTCATCTTTGGGTACTACCCCCCACCCAAGAACATCTAACAGGTTCGGTCCAAGAACCGCCCCCCCCCAAAAAAAGGCCCATGGCTATTTCCACATTCTCTGCCTTGGAACACTCTCCCGTCTGTCCTGGGATCACCATCCTCTGATGACTGATTGCCATGGCTAATAATTTCTTCCTGGTAGTGGACAAAGCAGCAGAGTTGAGGTGATACTCCTCACCATTGCCAGGTTGTCTGGCTCTCAGCTGGGCAGTGGTGGCACACACCTTTAATCCCAGTACTCAGGAGACAGAGGCTGGCCAATCTCTGAGTTCAAGGCCAGCCTAGTCAATAGAACAAGTTCCAGGACACCCAGAACTGCACAGAGAAACCCTGTCTCGGAAAAATAAATAAATAAATAAATAAATAAATAAAAAAGGAAAAGTCCCCTTTATTTTTTGGTCTCTGTGAAACACAGTGTGAGTGTGGACAGAGGGTGTCTATTACTCTACAGCCAGGTCTCTTTCCTGGTACTTGGCTCTACATATCAATGGTCCTAGGGTCTCTCTGGCCCAAATTCCAGGTGGCCTTCATTTCCGAGGTCAGTAGCTCCCGTCACAGGCATCGAGGGGCAAGAAGGAGTTTGGGAGTGTGAGGAGGTACAGACTGAAAAAGCCACCTCTTCTGCTTCCACTGGGGCTAGCACAGGTCTGGGGGTGGGTGGGTATTTCTGATTACCCAGAATCCCGGAAACCCAGCCCGCTGAGCAAGCAAGTGCATGTTGAGTCACCCTCACCCAGCTCCCTGTCATTAACCTCACCTTCCTAATTTGCTCAAGATAGGCCCAAACCTAAACTGGTGTGTGACCTTCCAAGGGGGACCAGAGTCTACAGGGGGGCAGCTTCTCACCAAACAGCTGTACTCCCCCTGCCCCACTCCACCCTGGGCTGCTGAAGGGAACTAAGTTTGCTGAGGGACCTGTGACAGGCTGGTGGCAGTATCATTGCCCCAGGGCATAATTCCACTTCTATGAACATTGCTGCTTAGGCATGGGGCCTGGTTCCTTTACCCGGGAGACTGGCCTACCCCAGCCAGGGCTCCATGAGCACTGTGGAAGTAACCCTCTAGAAGCTTCACTTTGCCTTTTGGTCTAGGATGTGGAGCGCTCATGGCTTTGCTCAGGATGGGCCATGAGCCAGTCCAGAGTGCCTGCTGCTGCCTAGCTGCTAGGAAGCATGGGAGGCCAGCCCCTCCTGCATGTGGAAGCACTCTCCAGAGAGCCTATTTATAGAGTAAGGGTAGGTGTTTTCATTTAGGTGAGGCCACCAGCCGGTGGCCTGCAGGCAGTTGTGGAAGAACCCCCCTCTTCCCCCACCCCTCCCACTCATACTGCCTGGAGAAGTCTGTTCACTGGGAGGAAGGGAGGAAGCCTGCTTCCCTGCCACTTCCTGTTCTCAGCCTCTACTTCTCTCTTTCAGGCATAGTGCGTGTTCCTGGAAGGGGACCTTTGAGTCTGTTTGGTGGGTCCCCCGTGGGTAGAGTCCGGGTCCACAGGTCAGTGTCACAAAGCCACCCACATCAACACCCCATCCATCTCCACCTTCCAGATGGGCACCTGCACTTGGAGATTTAGATGGCCCTAAGCTCCCGGCCTCATGTTTACCCAGGCCTGTGTGTCCCCTTGATCTCAGGCCTCCCCAGTGGATGGTGTTCTTGCTTCTATATGCTCAGCTCCCCTGCCTCTCATAGCCCTCTGCCTTCCACCAGGCTTGGCTTGGTTTGGCCTAGGACCTTGCTGGGATTTGGCAGATCGCTCTAGAACAACCCTGCTCTTTAAGAAACTGCTGCAGCATGGAGCCCACCTCTACACTGAGCCCTTTAGACTGACCCTAGCCAAGGACCCATGCTCAGAGCTGGGGGGAAGGATCCTATGCTCAGGGCCTGTACATGTTCGTTTCTCCCCAGCCCTGCTCAGGGCTCACAATCCTTTTCCCATGACAGCTGCTGCAGAATTTGGCCCTCAGAAGCCCCTGAAACCTGGGGCTGAGAAGCAGTGTAATGAGCACTCCTGTCTCTCCCCGCAGCAGCTCACATGTGCCCACACCTGCTCACTGCAAACAGAAGGTACTTTCCGTCCCAGAAACCTCATTGCTGTGGACTCAGGCAGGAGCTGGGAGAGTGACCTCTGTTCTGAGGCTGCCCCTAGAATGTGGGTGACCATCTCCCCCAAGCAGCTGGGATGCACCTCGAATAAGGCCTATCATGAGATCCCACAGGGTGCCCACAGTCCTTTGAGAGGTGTCTGTCTAGTCTCCTGTTGAGAATCAATGCCTCTTATTTGAAGGAGACACAGTTCCAGAGACCCCTCTGGTGGGAGTAGAAGCCTCAGGCAGGAATGCCAGGTAAGGACCACCAGCCTCCCTAAAAGCACGAGCCTGGCAAGGAGCCAAGGCCTTTCCAACCTGGCCTCCCACACCTGCCCCCAGCAACCCCGTTGGTTCTCAACACAGCACTCAAGCCACCAAAGGGACAAGCTAAAAGACGAAAGATCAGAAAGCTTGTAAGAGAGCTCATGCCACTTCCACTCAGCCTCCTCCAAAGACAGGCCAAGTGGCCCCTCATCCCATCCCCTCAGTCCGAGGGCCCCTCATCCCATCCCCTCAGTCCGAGGGCCCCTCATCCCATCCCCTCAGTCCGAGGGCCTTTGCATACTGCTCCTGCAGGCAAGATCACAGGATTTCACCTCTGAGCCTCTGAGCCTCTATGCTATCACTCTATGATAGCATAGAGTGACAGCGGGAGTAGTAGCCTCATGGGCTGCTGGAAGGCTTGCTGAGACAATTCACGCACAGTTCCAAGAGCTGGGTTTGTCTCCAGTATAATAAAATAGGAACCCAAGAATGAGACCTGTATTGTTGGTGTCCCCAAACCAGCTCAGCCTCTGTTGACTATCTGGGCTGAGCTGGGGCTTGGCCAGTATTCCCGGGAGGGTTCCATTGTGCTCCATGACGGCTTCAGGGGCCCCACTGCCACACATCTCTTACTGGACTCTACCGCCCACCACACACCAGCACCGCCTTTTCCCAATGGGACTTCTAACTACAATCCCATAGGCTGCTTCCCCTGCCCCCCATGCACCAGCTGAGAAAGCCAAGATGGGGTCCAAGCTGGTGGTTAGCACCTCAGACCAGCAGGCCTGGCGAAAGGGCAGGGCTTGAGAAAAGAACATTGTCACTAGTCACCAAAAGTGAGGTGGCTTCTGTCCCCATCCTCTCCTGATCACCAGGTCTTATACTCTAGACAAGGTCCAGGACTCTAGAGAAGCAGAGCCAGGATTGGGGCTTTTTCCAGCTTGAAAGAAAAGAGCAGCCTCCTAGGGGCCTCTTGTACCGCCCCCATCCGACCACTGGCCTGGGGCTCCTGCAGGGGCCTGGGAGCCTGTCTGCCAATCTGGGGCCCGGTAGAGTTTCTGGGGACCGAGCCTGCCTTGGCTTCCTCCACAGACACATGTTTCCAATCCCTTCCCAGGCCCCTCTCCCCCTCCCCAGCCCCTTCCCATTTCCTAGCTCAGGCATCCACTCCATGTGGAACTAATTAAGAGACCCTCAGGGCTCATAACCCAACTCTGGCCTGGGCTTGGGGAGGGCGCTCTCTCCACAGCCGGCTGGCTGCAGAGATGCAGCTTCCCCCACGTTCATCTCATCCCTGTCTGGCTCTGAGTAGCTCTAAGCTGAGACCACAAAGAACTGGCCATGACCAAAAGTCAGCTGCACTGCTGGAAGGAAGTATAAGCAGGCCATCTTGGCTCTTCCTCTTCTCTCCCTTGAATCCCTCAGCCTCCCAAACAGCTGGGCCAGGAGCCCTGATCCCCATGG